CTTGTCTTTAGATTATACACCCGAGCGGTTGATCGAACTTCAGGTTGAGCAGAGAATTCAGACGGGTTCCTTCCTCTGCCTCTTCCTCGTCCTCTTTGTGAGGAAGAACCAACTCTTTCAGATGGTGCAGGCTCACCAACAATCAATGGACAATCCTGGATAAAATGTCCGGCATCTCCGCATCGAAAACAAGTCCCAGCAGCCATCCGACAAGCCCCAGAATGGTTTTTCCCACAGTGCTGACACTGTCTCGCTTGACTCGGAGTAGATCTCCCAGCACCAGATCCCACTGACTGCGTCTGTCTAGGTCTTGCCTGACTTGCTCCCCTAGCAGACGATGCAACTGATTCTGATCTAGCTTGTGATCGAAATCCCGAGTCTCTTCCCCTTTTTGATGGTGCGGAGCTAGAAGAAACACCCGTTCTCTTTGATGTCTGAACTCTAAAATCCCCAAATCTCTCATTCTGAGCTCTTTCAAGAGCCTTGGCACGATTGATCACCTCTTGGAACGAGGACAAATTCAATACTATCAGCATCTCTTTCAATCTAGGGCGTAAACCCTCCACAAACCATTCACAAGCCTCTTTTTCAGTAGGCACAAGCTCGGATTCAAACCTACTCAACTTGTTGAACTCACATTCATACTCATATACAGAGCGATTCATCTGTTTCAAATTCAAAAACTCCTGCTTCATCTGTCGAATAAATTGATCTCCAATGTACTTATTTTTAAATTCATCTAAGAATAAAGACCAAGTCAATTGGTCACTGGGCATCCTCATGGTGACGTTCGTCCACCATATTCTCGCCTGACCCCTCAACAACGAGACAGCTCCATCTAACTTCTCCACTTCAGAACAGTGGAGACCATCCAACATGATTTTTAAATCATTTAACCAAAGATCTGCCGCAACCGGACCTTCTTCGGTTTCTCCCTTAAATTCGGGAGCTCCTAAACCTCCCAACTCTTTTGTTACATTCATCCTTTGAGTTGGTGGAGCAGGAGGTTAAAGACGCGTTAGAATAGCGTCTAACATTCTGAAGAACATATCTTGATCTTGTACAGGCACTCCTTAAGATGCCTGTTCTTCGCCTTGCCTGGCCAAGGCAGGTGAATTACTGCTTTCAGCCTGCCTATCTTCTCCCGCTTCACTTCGGGAGCTATTATGTCCGGACATCTAATAAGAATAAACACATTGTTCTATTAGCAAAACAACATACTATACCAGATCAGAAGTTCTCACTATTTGTTGGCATGTATTCCATTTAAAGACTCTATAGACTCTGGTTTATGCCTAGAATCGGCTAAACCATAGCTCTGAGACCATTAAATGTAACACCCCCAACCCGTATCCCAACCCGGATACGAGTCAGAGATATTACATTGACTTTTAAAACACAACTCATTATAAATAATAGTAAAATACTTGAACTTATATTACGAAAAATACAATAATATACATATGGTAATATAAGTTTACCAAAATATTCAGAGCATACACAACTTAACTCTTTAATTACATGCCAACATCCATTTTCATAACAAAATGACCTACTGATTAAGTTGCTTCTGATCTGATAGTTGCAGGAGTAATGTTGTCCAGCTGCTTAACCTCGATCGTCTACTTTATCGGATCCTACGTATGAAACACTCACACGCTAAGTCATCGACTTAGTGAGGCAATAATATAATAATAATATCAATAAATATAAAGTAATTGCCAAAATGAGATGGGTTACAGTAATAAGATGTATGTAAACAATGCAATAACCAAAACCATGTTTCTTACACATATACTTATCAAATTCACATTCATAAGTTCGCCTTAGTAAGTTCATTAGCCCATGGTACCATATAGAGAACCTAAGGTATGTGAGTATTGTGAGGTTATGCACTATGCTGTCACCACAGCTCATATAATTGCACCTAAGTGCCACGTAAAATTGCACTGGAGTGCCGCGTAGAATTGCACCGTAGTGCCATATAATAATGTCCATAAGGAACACATATCATTCCTTAAGAATCATATACATATGCCAAGGATCAAGTATGTGTCTCACCAGACTTCACACATGTTCCAAAGAATACATATATGTCCCGAATGACCACATATCATTCCTTAAGAATCATATACATATACCAAGGATCAAGTATGTGTCTCACCAGACCTCACACATGTTCCAAAGAATACATATATGTCCCGAAGGACCACATATCATTCCTTAAGAATCATATACTTATGCCAAGGATCAAGTATGTGTCTCACCAGACTTCACACATGTTCCAAAGAATATATATATGTCCCGAAGGACCACATAGACCCTCTACCCTTGGCATGCCAACTATACCTATAGTTCTCATTTACATAACATGGGCTTTCACAATTTATCTAATTCATATCACGAAGACATATTATTTCCATACCTTTATCATATAACTCATATAACTTTTCTTTCATATTCATGTCCCATAATGCATATGGTATGGATTCATGTCATATATCATCATATGAACTATGATCATGTATCAAAATATTGAATCTAGACTTATCACAAGTCTAGAACTGAATAAAATACATATTCATACTATGCATATGCACTCACCTAGATTTCTTTGTTTTTCCCTCGATTGATCCTACTTGTCGATGGTTCCGGAACTCGATTAGGCTCAATATCTACATAAGCAAAATTTTCAAGATGATTATCATATGCCTAAGTCTTGAAATTAACCTCTAATAGCCTACCAATTTAAGAAATTGATAGTTTAGTCTCTCTTCTTTCTTTCTTTTTTTTATTATGGGGGAATCGGTTCCCCCTGGGGGTATCGATTCCCCTCTAGCGTTCTGGAAATTCATATTCGTTTGAGGGGGTATCGATTCCCCTTGAATGGGTATCGATTCCCCTATCCCAGAAATCCTATTTTGAGCTCGATATTCACTTTATTTCAGCTTAAACCTTCATATTTTACTTCCCTTAATATTCCTAACTTCCATACACATATTTAAACTCATTTTTATTCCATAATCACTTCTTTAAACCCAAAATTCCATCATTTACATGGCATTCAAGAATCACACTAAATTTTCAAGGTGTTCTAATTCCAATTCTAACACTTCATATCCCTTAATTAACTTGATGACAAGTCAAATCTCACTTCCAATTATTATTATGAACTCTAATATAAGATTTCACTTTTCTACTTCCTTTCTTTAATTCTTCATATACTTCTCCTCTTGAGGTTTTAAAATAATTTAAACCTTCTTTAAGCTTAACTATTGCCTAATAGTCATGAATCAACCATAAATTCATCAAGAAATTCACTAACAAGAAAATCTTACCTTAGCTTGGGTCTCACGTATGAAGAATAAGAAAGAAGAAGATGACTCTGGAAGCTTGTTTTAATTTCTTACTCTTCCACGTGCTTAATATAATACTAACCCTAAAATTATATTACTATAAAAAGACCATTTTGTCCTTCTAATCTTCCTTCTTTATAATTCAATCCTACATAAAATAACTCAAATAAGTCATTGAACTCTTCCATCATTCTACTTAAATCACCAAATGCTGAAACTTTACAAATTGATCACTAACCCCACATAGAGGATGAGCTAAGATTTTTCCTTCTTGGGATAAATTGTGTAGGATCAGGCTTTATAAAACAATTCGACAACTGTACTCTATTTGAAGCTAGGAATGTGAAGTTGTTGGATGTAACTTCACATTTTTAGCTTTGTCCCTAAAAGATTAGTTATTTACAAGATAAACTAACGGTCCTCTGCTTTTGCTGGATGCAGTATGAGAGGGAGAGCGGGAGAAAATGGAAATGGAGGCGGAATAGGTGGTGGAAAAAGGGTGGGGCGGCGAAGGGGGAAAGGAAAGGGATAAGATAGAGGAGGTGGAGCTAGAGATTGGAGTGGATTTTAAAGAAGATAAGCATATTAAAAAAAGGGTAGATTAGAGCTTTGCCCCTAAGGCACTGTTTGGTTCACGGAATATTTTATTCTTGGGGGAATGTTTTTTTCCGGGTTAAAGATACCCACATTTGATTTCTCCACATTCCTAAGTACCAGTCAAAAAGTAATACCAACAGTGCTATTTTTTTCCTGTTTTCCCAGGAATGTTAGTCCCTTGTCTCCCTTAGGTATTTGCTTATTCCTGTCTTCTGCTTCCTAAAATATCCTTCTCCCCGCTTGGTTCTGCCAGAAAAAAAATCTTCTTCTTCGATTTGGCGTTGATTTCTTCTTCTGGCGTATTAGGTATTTGCTCGAAGTCCTTATGAAGACAAGAATTCCTTCCCCTGCTGAAGACGAGAAGAAGCTTAGAGCCCATCAATTCTCAAGGTTGGAATTTTTATTCTTTCATTTCCTTTTTGTTTTGCAGTTGAGAAATCACAAGGAAATCTCTCTTCTCCTTTTTTTAAAATATAATTTAACCTAATTTGTTGAAACGAATTAATGCTTAATTAAATTAGTTGAGGATTATTCTTTCCACTAGCTGTAGTTTTCGCGCTTACCGTTTTACCTAACTCTGTTATCTGCTACTAAACTACTTTTCACTTCTACTATTTATTTACATAATGTATTCCACTCCCAAGTAATTTGCTCTTAGTTTAATTGCTTTTTTATTTTCTTAAAACTGATCTTCTTGGGCTTTTATATGAAGAATATTTTTAGCTCGAAATTTTACCCCATGTTTTTATCTTGGAGACTTGGACTTAGAGAAATGAAATGAAATTGTAAAATTGCTCTTACAAAATGAAACTTAGCTAGTCAGTTGTGGTTAGCTCTAGTTTGAAGTAGTTATCTTTTAAGTTTGTTAAGTTGGTTTAAGCCATCTGTTCAATCAATCTTAGCAATGTTTAATTGTGATTTTTTTTACAGGAAATTATCGGTTTTATCAGCTATGCAGTATTTTGCCTTGAGTTCATAGCTGGGATCTGTGTTGCAATTTTGTAAATTTTTTTTTTGGGGTGGAGTGGAGTTATGTGTGTAGGGGGTATTTGAGTGATCATGGGATCCGCTTGTTGTGTTGCCGCAAGGGACACAAGCATTCCAAACAGAACAGGACGTGGGACTTTGCATAGAAATGTGAGGTGTTCGCCATCATGGAGCTTCTGCCAAGATAATCGAAGGCGTGTAGCTGGAGAAATAGATGGGCCTTCTTATCAGGTGTCTAATGGAACTAGCATAAATGTTAGCATGGAGGTAAAAGAGACATTAGGATCTGACAGAGGTAATCTTTCTGATCAAGGAAGTCCACTTGAGATTGAGACATACGAAACTCCCATTTCTCAAAAATCACCAGTCCATGAAGACATGGGTGGGAATATGATGACCCCTCCTTCAGGTAAAATCACTTGCCAATTAAAATAGCCTAAAGGGGTAGCTTTTTGTATCACCATCTTGATCATGCAGTATGCATCCCCCGTTTAGGAAATTGTTTTCTAGAAATTTTGTTTTATGTCAATTGTTCCATTTGGAAATCATGTAATTTATGTAACTTTACCCATGAATACAAAAGGTTGCAATGGTATTCTAAGCCCATATACTACTGGCTACCAACGAGGCTCTTGATAATGTGCAGGGCAGCATGGTCGAATAAAAATAAAACAAACATGTTTATGTATATTCAAGTTGCATTCATTATATTATTGTTTACTTCTATCATTTTTCTGCCTATACTGTTCTGAGTAATGTTGTTGCCAGTCTCTTCCCTCTATTTTGTAACTTGTTTGTGTTGTGTTTGATATTGTTTTATGTTGTTGGCGCAGACATAACAAGAGCAAGCAATTATTCAGTTGATGTAAGTTTGATGTAGCTGATATTTACTTTACTTGAATAGCTTTTTATATTTGTGTGTGCTTCCTAGACTTTTGGTGATACACTAGCCTATTCTTCTAATGGCTAAAATACCTTTCTGGTTACATTTCAGGTGAAGAATTTGGAAGAATTGCCCAATATCATTGATTCCTCTACACCAGATCTTTAATTTTCTGTACCTTCATCATTCTCACCACCAATATCACCTTTCTGGCTAAAATGTTTGAATGTCAGAATCAAAGGTAGTGGCAAAGGTTCCTATGGTCACTATAGTTTAATGCTGCTAAGTTGTTTTATGGCAAATGATGCCGTCATCCCCCACCCCAATAAAATTGTTTTAAGAGTAAACAAATGATTGTTATAAAAAAAGAGTAAACAAATGATGTTTTAGGTTTCTGTTTACAGCTACGAGGTTATATTTCTTGTATCCTTTAACTTGAAACTAAGTCAATCTTTTGACTTGGATAATTTTTTGTGTATATAATATAGCCAACATATATGATTAAGTTTAGAATGTCATGGTTATTATGTTTTGTAAGTCTGAACATTATACAAACTTTTTATGGTTAATGTTATACTTCTTTTTGTTATGTAGTATATACTTTGCAAGTAATGTGCTAGTTTTCGAATATGTTAATTACTTTTTATAAATTTAAATATTATATTTTTAGATAAATTATGTAAAATTTAATTAAATGTTGAAGTAGTAAAAGTTAAAAATCCATAATATTGAACATTTAATTAAATGTTGAAGTAAAATTTTAATATATTTTTAGATAAATTATGTAAAATTTATTATTAATTAAAATTAAAATAATACATGATATATTTAAATAATAAAATAATATATTATCGATGAATTTTTATATAAATAATTTTTATTTAAATATTTAGAATTTCACTTGTTAAAAAATATAGAACAAGGTCAATTTGGTAAAATATACATTCCAGTAATCTTTTATTCCTTCAACCAAACACTATAATCTTACATTACTGCCAAACAAGCCAAACACAGTAATGTAACATTCCCAGTAATGTGTTAGGTAATATTACATTCCGGTAATTTTATTCCCACTGGTAATCTTATATTCCGTGAACCAAACACACCCTAAGTATATTAAATAGGGGAAGAGATAGAGGAGGTGAGGTTAGAGATTTGAGTGGATTTGAAAGAAGATATTAAAAAAAGGGTATATTAGAATTTTGAATTTATAAAATGAATCTTATTTAGTATTTTATTTAAAGTTCAGGTGTTAAGATAAAAGTTAAAAATTTTAATTAATGTGTCACATCATAAAATCATTAAAGGTTTAACGGTGATTTATGTTAAGTAGTCATGCTTTAATTAAAATAAAATAAAAATGACCGCATATTAATTTTTTAAATCGAGTGATCATACATTTATAAAAATAAAATAAAAGTGATCGATCGCTAAAAGAGGTTTAATTTTCTAATAATACGATTGTTGAGCTGAATTCCAACCATCAAGTCTTGAACTTGTGCTAGTTTACACACAACAAAAGAGGTAGGGTTTTCCCAACACAATTGTGTTTGAAAAGGCACAATTCTTAAAAGCAACAATTTTTTTTTTTGTAATGAAGCATTATAACTTTTTGAATGGAACATTTGTAATATACGTCCCATAAAAAAACAAACTAACTTATTGAAAAAGCTGCATGGAGAATCCAATGGAACTGGACTCCTTTTTACTGCATCAGCTTCTTCCCTTTCAAACATTTTCATTACACGCTTTAAGACAAAAGACGAGAGATTGTAGTTCTACAATTACGGGTTCCAATAACTAGTCAGGACATGTTTTTTCCAAATAGACGTCTATTGCCTATTGGATCTAAAACGTAACAATATCCTCTGGGTATCATACAGAAAAAATATTTATTTTCTAGGTCGCACCTATTCATGAAAATTAAGTGTGAACATAGATTTTTGAATAAATTATTCATTTAGTACTTAAATTATTAGTTTTGATTCGTTTTAGTATTTAAACTTTTATTTTTTTCAAAATCATACTTAACGTTTAGTTTTTATTGCGTTTTAATACTCTACCGTTAAAAACTTAAAACATTTAGTACCTAACTATCAGTTTTGATCTGTTTTAGTACCTAAAGTTTCAATTTTTTCAAAACTTAATGTAAAATTTTGAATGAGATACTAAAATTAAACAAAAACTAAAGCTTTTAACGGGTACTAAAATGAAACAAAAATTAAATTTTAAGTATGGTTTTGAAAAGAAATAAAGTTAAAGTACTAAAACGGACCAAAACTGATAGTTTATGTATTAAACATGTAATTTGCCCTCAATTTTTTTACTAGTATTTTAAAATGTTAACATAGGTGTGTTTTTTATTAATATTGACCACACAGTTAAGTAATGTAAAAATCCAATGATTTGTAATTTCAATAAATTTATGGGTAAAGTATACATGTGGTATACCTATTATAAGATTTTGCCTTGTTAAGTCCTCCGACTATTAAAAGTTATAAAATAAATTTTTGATTATAGATTGTTATTTTATTGAGTACCACTATTATTAAGTTGTCTACCTGAGTCGGAGGAGGTCGCATCGCCGAAGAGGAAAACGACCTACCTTTTTGGTTCATCGAATTCTAAGGGAGTTGAGAAGTCAGGGTTCAGTCGAGAAAAGTTAAGGGATATTTTATTTTGATTTTTATGCTTTGGTTTCATTGCTTACAAGAGATGAAGCGTTAGGACCGTTTTTAGGGGTAGCGTTGGTCCCCCATTTGTCGTAGTTGTAGTCGAAGGTCGAAATCAGCCCCCAAATACGATTGCTTTTGGTTTTGTATTTATTTCGATCGTGAAAAAATGAGATAGAAAGCGAAAGAGAGACCTTACAGTGACCTATCATGGGGTATGATTTGTATTATTTTTTATTCAGGTTAAATTAATTTTTAATGTTAACAACTAACGTTTAATTTATTGCACTGAAATAAATTGTATGATATCGTGGTTACTTGTCCCAGGGTACGATATGCATTATAATGGTCTGGATAAATGTATTAAAATCAACCCTTTAACTTTTAATTTCTGTTATTTACATTTCTACCCCTTGAAATTTATGGAAACTTAATACTCCAAAGGTTTAGAATTACACTGCCTTGATGATTGAATCCCAAAGTTAGGCTCCTTGCTTAGCTACACATTTTATCTCTATGATTTGGGTGGAAACCTATCACTTTTTCTTGCAACCAAAGAACCCAAGCTTTAATTCATTAAAAAGATGATGCTAGGGAAAATAAAAATAATTTTGAAGCATGAAATCAGGCTCAAGTTCTTATCTTGCTAAGAAACTTGGAGAGGAAGATGGGAGGAGGAAAATGAGAATGAAGAAAGTGAAGAGAAGAAAATAGAAGAAGATATAAAAAAAGTATTCATCTTTTAAAAAGGGGCTAATTACACTGTTGGTCCCTCTTTCTCTTCCTACTATGTAAAAATTCCCTTTTTTTTGTCTAATTAGGCTCAAGTTCAACCCAATTAAGTCTAACGACTTGAATTATAGATTCTGCGAGGTCCACTTACCTCTCGTGTAAAACCCAAAACTACTAGCCTATAATTTGGGGTGTTACATAAGCCGCAGGGGTTAACAGTGATTCATAGGGATCTAAAATCATAAAATTGTTTGTTCTTGAGCCAAAACAAAGATTAGACGTTGAAGATCATATATTTTGGATTAATTTCAATAGATGAATTCACGGATCCAATTATCAGGTTGTTTGGATCCATTGATTATGTTTCATTGGAAGCACTTTCTCAAGGGAAAATCACCATGAAGAGTGATATTCAGTTATCGAGTTATTTCAATCCATTGATTTGTCTTCTTGTTCCTTGTTGGATTTGACATTCTACAGTCTCAATCTTTGGAAATTGAATTTTAGCTTGTATAACTGAGATGACCTAACTTCATTTTATATCTAGATGCCTACCCTCTCATTTTGCTCTGAACTTTTGGTGTTATTATTTGTTATCGGAAGTTGAAAATCTTTCATTATTCTTGAAATGCAACATGAGTCCTTGAAAGAAGACAAATGGAGCAGAGATGTCTGAAGAAGAAGCAGGGAGGAGATGAACAACAATGGGGTTATGAAGAAAATTTATTTAAAATGGATAAATTAAAATGTTGTCCCTAAACTAATTTGAATTTTCAAAAAAATATAATCAATATTTTGTCTAAAGTGTAAGAGTTAAAATAAAAATTAAACCATTTTAATAACGGGCCACATCATCAAACTAACGGCAATCAACGTTCAAGTGACCAAAACTTACTAAAACAATAACCTAAGCGGCCAAACTTATGTTTTTTAAATTTAGTGAGCAAAAGTGTACAAATATGAAAGGAAAGTGACTAAAATTTAATCTATGTATTATCTAAATGGAAATGATGTAATTTTAATTTTATATATTTACCGTGCCACGTCAACAAACCGTTAAAGGTTTAACGACCATTAACCTTCAATGACCATATATTATTAAAACAAAACGAAAATGACCAAATCTTATGTTTTCCGAATTCAGTGAGGAAAATTTATAAAACTCAAACGAAAACAACCATTTTTGTAGTTTACCCAAAAATATAAAGAATCCAAACGGAGCAAACCGAATTTTTTCTCTCTTCTCATTGAGCTTTCAATTTTGGACTTAACTTCAACACACCACTCATATATGCAAAATCTCCAATTATTCATTGTTCACAACGTGGTAGGCAGAAGGCGGTTTAATCTTGAATATTTTTTTCCTTTACGGAAAATATTCAAGGATTTCATTCGTTGACATTGCCCATTATGTGATTATGATTTTATTTTTAATAAATTATTTAGAATAAATACTATTTCTTAATTATTTTAGTTTAATCAAAAAATTAATATTGAATTCGATTCCAAATATTTCTCTCATTTTCCTTAATAAAAAAGCCACATAATGTGCTAGTGGAAGCATTGTTCATTCAAAAAGATTTTTCACTTCTCTATAATTGAAAGCATACTAACATAACATTACTATTAATTATATAACAATGCAAATCTAATCATCACAAATTTTCAAAAAGTATTCTAATTTCGACATCATCGGTTAAAAAATAAAAAGTAATACTGACGTAAAATTTCTTTTATTTTTTGGGGCAAAGTACATAAATGGTCCTCAGACTTTAAGATATCGATTTATTAAGTCCCCGACTATTAAAAGTTACAAAAAAGTCCTCCGACCATAGAGAGTTGCTTTGTTAAGTCCCTTTACTATTAAAAGCTACAAAACGATCACTTAACTATTTATTGTGTTATAAACTCGTCATTTTTCGTTAAAAATTTGACATGCTGACTGAGATATAATAAAATCTTATCTCATAATCTCAAACGATTATCATATCCCAATTGCCATGTTAACTCCAACTCAGGTGACAATTAATTTTTTAACATAAAAAGACGAGTTTGAAACATAATGAATAGTTAAGTGATCATTTTGTAACTTTTAATAGTCAAGGGACTCAAAAAAGTAACCTCCTATAGTTGAGGGACTATTTTATAACTTTTAATAGTTAAGGGACTCAATAAAATAATATTTTATAATTGGGGGATCATTTATGTACTTTACCCTATTTTTTGTCATTCTCTCCGACACCGACAAATAACTTTACTAAAATTAATTTTAATTATCGACTACTTTAATATTTAGTGAAACTCTTATCCTATTTTCTTAATTAATTCTCCTCTACGTCACCTTTTTTTTCCCTAACATTAATATTTCCCAATTTAATATAAAATCCACCCAAATTATTATTTGATTAAGTTAAGATGATTACAAATTAATATTTGTTTTAGATACACTCAATAATTTGACAAATGAACGCTCAATCACCCTACTACAATTGTTGTTGCTCGAATTCGTAACCTCTAAAAAATAATGATTCTTTTAACCACTAAGATAAGTTGATTTGTACCCCAAATTAAAATTCAATGATAGCAATATTTCCCCATCTAGGGTTTGTCCTATTTTTCTCTCTCTTTTCTTAGCCAATGTTAGTCTCTTTTCTTTTTCACCTTTACGATCGACAGTGACATCAGTCTTAGTATTGATCGTCAACCGTCAATATTTATTATTTTTCCTTTGCTTTATTATAATAATTTTTTTATTTTTTTCTTATTTTATTTTTAATAATTTTATGACACATATTCTTCCGCCTTTATGATATATTTTTCTCTGTCTTTATGGTATGTTTTCAGTTGTTTGGTCGTTATTGTCATTTATTCTTTTTTAAAGTTAGATTTGACATTATCATGACTGATCAAGATGACGCTTTATTTGTTATCATGATCATCTTCCCTGTTTTGGACCCTCAGATTGAATTTGGATACATGAATGACGTTCGTGGATAGTATTTTTATGTCGCTCAATTCTGATTTGCAATTTGTCGGTGGTCTTTCAATAACTTTATCCCCTTTGTGGTTCGTTTTCTGATGCAGTCAAATATGTTTGTATCTACCTTTTATCTGAGTTTGTTTGGTTAGGTTTTGTTTAACATTTTCTATATATAATCTTTGTGATCTTAAATGTCTAGTTTTCTCGTGTTTAAGAAAATATATTTATTATGTGTTTAGTTTACGATTGTAGTTATAAATATTCATTGTAATTTAAATATTTTTTTATTTTTAATAAAATTAATCTTATTTCAAAAAAAATTCAATGATAGCATTAACACGAGTTGATTCAAGTGGTAAGTGGCATAATATCACTTTAAGTAAATCTCGTGTTTGAAGTTTATATGTAAAAAAAATTCATTAGAAGATTCATTCATCTAAACTAATTGTATGATAGTGAGCGGATCCGAATTAATCAAAACAGATACTTGAGAACATAAGGGGAAAAATCTCAGTGATAGCTTAAATGATAAGAAGGAAGGTATGAAAAAGAAAAGGGAAAGGGGGAAAACTTGGGAAAGTGTATGGGTCTGGCGCTGTGGTTGAGACCACTTCTTCCATCATTGTTTCACGACCGAAATGATTAGTCATTTACTATCACAACTCTAGAGAATCTCCCATGGAAATTGCAAAAAGATGTGTTTGAACCAAACGTTTCCCAGTTTCATGAGGTCTACTGTTTTCCCGAAATCATTGAAACCCACCAGTATTTCGGATCTTGAGGGGATATCTTTCTCCCACTCAAATTTCTCCCACCAATATAATTACTGTACTTAGCTAAAGTGTTAAATCTCGGGGGCCAATTGGGTTATTTGAATATTTTACAAGTCAAGACCCACATTCATAAACAAAAAAGTTCAGTCGTTTCAACATTAGTGAGAATGAGTCACCGTCTCATTAGTTTTTCAAGACTGTCCTGTTGGCAGGTGGCGATCAAATCCTTTTTAGGTGTGATCTTTTCTTTAAGGGTCTCCTGTTCTTTTAATGAATTTTAATTTTCTTTTTGCATGGGAAATTGCTGTTAGTTTCAATGGTTAATTATTTGGTCAAATTGCTGTACCAAATTAAAGTAAAGGGACTAATTACCAAATCATCACATGGCAGAGGTACTCCAACCATAATTTGACCTTTTTTTTAATAGATGTAAGATTTTGTAGCTGGATTACTAAATTTTCAAAGGCCAGAAGCCATAAATCTTCATTTATGACTAACTATAATAATATCACTCTATATTATTAATTTTCAATTAAATCTTTATTTTACTTAATAAAAATAATATTTTTATATATATATTGTGTTGAGTCGGGTCATATAGGTTGGGTATTAGTCCTAAAAATTTAAATTGAATTTCGGGTCGAGTAAAACCTTCCAAAACCCGGACTAGATCTGATGCGGGCGGAGTGGTTTAATTTTCGAGTCAGATTTGAGTGAACAAAAGTCTAACCTGACACATAATTATCCCTAATTATATTTATTGCATACAAAGATGAGATTCAAAAGAAGTTAAAGAGCATCATTTTCATTTTCTTCCAAGAAACAACATTTTCCTTAACCTAACAGAAGAAGAAGAAGAATCTGCCCTCTGTCTTTTATTTATTTATCTTCAAGAATCATATTCTCCTGTCCCTTGAGGCATTTCCTTTTCTGGGTTTTCATTAGAAAAAATAGTTTCCTTCAACACTATTGCAGCTGCAAACACTTGAGTTGAAAAAACAAAAAGTGGGCCAAAAGAGAGAAATATTAAAATAAAAACGAAGAAATAGAGTGACATGATGCCACTTTAACAACTGATTCTCTTCTTTTTCCGTCACTTTCTAAATTACCACTATAGCTTTCACATGTCCGCAAAGTTAAACTTACCTGTGAGTGCACATGTCCAGAAGCTTTTTCCTCCCTTCAACTATTTCATCAAAGAAATCATCGATTTGTCCAATTATAGTCTCCACCCCACACCTCAATAACCCGAAGCAACTGTTCAAATTATCGATTTTGTCTCGGATTATTTCGTTTTCCGGTGATCCGTATTTCACCATCTTTTCAATTTCCTCCCTCAGCTCTTCCATGGCCACCTTTGCTTCTCGGAATTCGTATAACATGATCCCGGCTTGTTGGCCGCCGTTTCGATACATTTCATTAGATACCCTTTGGTGGAGCCTCGATATCGAGACCATGAACGGTGACCCGAATATCATGTGCCCTTCGTGTTCGCCGTGGACGAAGCTCAGTTCCGGGCAGTAGTACACGAGACTGCTGAGGAGGATCATTAGGATCAATGAGCCGATGTTCCTCATTGCGTAGAGAACGCCTCGGAATCCGTTGAAACCGTTCAGCTTCGATTCCACGGCGACGTTTTCGTCGAATCGAAGTGATAGTTGCCTTGCTCTTGTTTCTATTAGGTTCCTGTTCTCCTCTTCCAGCCCCACAATTTCCCTTTGGCACCCCACTATTGCCAGTATCACCTACACAGCAAAATTTGAGTAATGAAGGGACCAAAAATCAAATTTAACCATTTTTTTTTTGCTCTGCACTAACCTGGCGGGAAAATTGTAGGTTGAAGTGGAGATGATGATCAAGAGAAGAAGCAATATTTGTAGCCGAATAACAGTAACTTTCAATCCCAGAAATACCAGATTTGAGCAAAAGACAAGCTTCCCAAAGCCTAGAGCTTTCATCCATGTATTCATCGAGCCATTTTTCTCCTACAGGAAGATGAAGCTTTTGGACCAATAGGGTCGACTGGGAATGAAAAGATCGAAGCGAAGACAAGATCTTTTGCAGGAACTGGATCGACAACAAGTTACAAGAAGCGAAGGAGCAATCCAGTTCTTCAAGCCCTCGGTTCAGCAAGTTGTAGAATCCATTTACAGAAGAAGTACTGGTGCATGAAGAAGGATCCATAATAACAACAATAAAAAAAACTATCTGTTAAACAATGATGATGAAGAAGAAGAAGAAGAAGGTAGAAAAAGGTGATGGAGATTGATGGGTATTTATATTGGGAAAGGGTGAGTAAAGAAGAGAAGGGGTGAATATTAAAGCTACCTTAATAGCTCAGTCTTCAATGGTGAAAAGGTATTGTTGTTGTTGGGTGTAATCATGTGTTTCCTATAGAGTGGAGGCGATGATTGGGAATCTGTTGTCGCCTACGTTTTTTTTAAGCAAAATGAAAGCTGAATCAATGGAAACTTCATAAGCTTCTTTTCATTATAGTTTTGCAGTGTAGCCAAAGGGATTTTTGTTTAGTATGATTAATATAAGTTAGATTTTGTTCCTTGGGGCTGTAATAGTTTGACCAGCTTTTGATTCAGATTCTTCTCCTCCTCCTTTCTCATTCTTCCATTTTGATTTTGTTATCCTTTTGAATTGAGTGCCCTTCGGCTTTTGCCCTTTTCCCCATCTCCTCCAACATATTCTCTTTTCTCTCTCTTTAACGTGAACCCAAACCAACACCATGAACCCATTTATTTCAAACTCAAATTGATTCGAACATTAAATAATTTCTATTTATTGCTTAAAATTTAAAATGATTTAATTTTATCTAAAATATTTAAATTAGGCCATTTTTTCTCTATAGATTCTAATTCAATCTGATCCAATTTGATTGATACCTTTTTTTTCAAGATCGGAGTTAGAATGGATCGAACGGATATTTTGTTAAAAAAATTCAGAGTTAATCAGAATCAGATTCATATTTAAGTGAAACACGATTTGCCTCGATACATTTATTGAAATACTCTTTGGGGAGTGTATATACGTAAACTAATATTGTTATTTTCCTTGGCTTCAATATTTTGGGGGTGTTATTCCTAGATCGTGGTGTTCTGCTTGTATTCCAAGTGGGAATAGAGATAATAGATTTGTTTTGAATTAGAGAGATTAAGCATTCATTTATGTTTACTCTTTACAATGTGGATTCCTTTGCTTTGCTTTTCCAAGAACCGACATTCCATTTTAGGCATCAAATTTAAGATTGATCTGTTTTTAACTTTCGAAAGGAATATTGTTATATTTAAGTCAAGAATTCGTCTTTTAATACATTCATAATAAATATAAATGGCCCTACCCCACCCCAAAATTACGTGTTAATGGAGAGTAAGTGCGAACTAAACGACCTCATTGATAAAATAATTGTTATTTTTAAGATGTCGGGTTCGAACGAGTTTTTAATGTCAAGTAATAAAAGGTTATATATGAATAAATGTTATATTATACTTAATCTAGAATAGTAAAAAAGAATAATGAGAGTAAATGTGTCTGAACCTCGTCTGCAAAATCTGTTAGTTGGAATAGATTAGGCAACAAGCTGTCCTGAAAGGACAACACTTTCGACAGTGATCACTTTGCGTTACAATACATTTACATATTCTTGTGGTTCAATCACGTCTTGTAACATCATTTTTCAATATGGATTTGGGTCCCAAAACATCACATTCAAACAAAATCACACTCTAATGTGCACCCAATTTCCAATTTAAAAGGTTTAATTCATCTGCTTTAAGCCGTCGAATTATTAAAATTTATATTATGAAAGAATTATATACATATATATATCGATGGGTAACATTAAATATCACTTCTTTTTACGCGCGTAACATTTAATCTATTTATTTTAAGTGATTAATTTGTTTTATTAAGGATATCATATTAGTATTACTGATTTGAAACAATTCCATCCTTTTCTCAAGCCGTTAGAAAAATAAAATGTTATTATCGATAAAAAAAACCCTGCATTAATCCGAGAATCATATAAAAAACTAATAAGGAATAAATGTCATTACAAGATTAAAGAGATAAAACGAATTAACTGTCTTAAGATTGTTGACTAAAGTAACAATTTGAGACAGAACCAAACTTGAAAAATAAAAAAACAAATTAAACTTCGTAAAGTAAATCAAAATTAAATAGAAAGAAAAATGTTCTTTTTAATTTGATCAGTTAGTTCAGAATCAGTTGAGATATGTCGCTACACAATTTTATTAAGATAGATTTTCGGCCACTCCTTTGGTGTTCGAATTCGTTGGTCATCTGTCTCCCAAGATACGACAACTTATGATCAGCTACACTAACACATTTGCAAAGATCACGAACGATCCTTATTTTTTACTATCACCCGAAAACTAAGGAGGAAAAGATTGTTTTATAAGGAGATAGAAAATATTTTTCAAGAGTAGAAAACTTCTTGAATTCTAAGATATTTTGAGATGTGAAAAATCTAATAGGTTTGCTCGATTTAGTACAACCATATATATTTTAATATTCAACATTAAACGTATAACAATATCTTTTAATTTGAAATATTCAAAATATAAAACTTCTTTTACCATTCAAGCTTAAATAAATATTATTTTAATTTGAAATATACAAAAGTATATAATTATATTTAATATTCAAAGTTAAAAAGATAACAAATACATTTTTAGATTTATATATTCAAAGAATGATTATCCTACTCATATTCAAATTAAATAATATATTTAATTTACAATAGTTAAAAAGAATATAAATTTAATATAAATATTAAATACATCAATTAAATTCAATTTTTTTCCAACCCTTGTTTCGTAAAAGAAAAAATCTAATCTCATCCTAAGGGAAGAGAAAAACAGTACACTGATTGTGTGATCCTACTAATTTTTCAAACTGTACAATTTCGTGACTTCCTTCTGAACTAAGCACGGTGCTGAAGAATCATCAAGTTCATGGAGTTTTTGTTTTTTCATATGGCGATTTGTTGTTCGTTTGAGACTAATCTCGACACCTCCTTTTGAGTCTGTCTATTTAAATCAATCGAGCTAAGTTCAAGATCCAAGTACGATTTTTTCGAAAACATAAAGTTTATCGTTGTCTCGAATCAGTTTGAT